TTGAAATTGACATGAATGGCCGGGCGCGGTGGCTCACGCCTGTAATCCCAGCACTTTGGGAGGCCAAGGTGGGCGGATCACGAGGTCAGGAGATTGAGACCATCCTGGTTAACACAGTGAAACCCTGTCTCTACTAAAAATATAAAAAATTAGCCGGGCGTGGTGGCGGGTGCCTGTAGTCCTAGCTACTTGGGAGGCTGGGGCAGGAGAATGGCGAGAACCCGGGAGGCAGAGCTTGCAGTGAGCCGAGATAGCGCCACTGCACTCCAGCCTGGGTGACAGAGCGAGTCTCCGTCTCAAAAAAAAAAAAAAGAAAAGAAATTGACATGAAGAATAAATAGGTCCCTGTTCAACTACCTTGCTAATAATTATTTTTCCTATATCCATATCTCCTTATTGAAAAGTGATTAGCATGATAAATATTCCACACCAATTGCTGTAATTCTGAAGAGGGTCCCAGGAGGCTTCTCACATTTTATTTTATTGTTTTGGTGTGTGTTTTCCATGCCTGAATTTAAATTATGACATGCTCTCTCACACTGATTGGATCGTAGGGAAATGGACAGGTACACTCTTCCTTGCTCTGGGCTGGTTAAAGGAAAGTGCCTGTTGCATCTGTGTATGGTCTCCCTCTCCAGCATCCATGTGTGAATTACTCTGTTGCAGCACTGGAATCGCTGATGCATCTGTAGGTAGTTCAGAGGCTGCTCACCTGGGGGGGTCTCATCCCTTCTAATTTTGTCCTTCACCCCTGCTGCTGCATCCTGACCACTATGTCAAGGGCAATGAGCCAGACCTCCCATTCCTACTTGGAATTCCTACTTCCTCGCCCAGCACCTTGCAGCCCTCACAGAAGTGACCTTTGGAATAGAGAAGGAGTTCTTAGGAGCATGGAGTAGGCAATGGCAGGACAGTGCCATCTGGGATATCTGGGGTTGCCATGGGGCAAAGCCTCTTGCTGGCCTCCTGCCATCGCTATCTGTTACATAAGTGAGCGGCAGAATCAAAGTAAGCAAGTTTGTCTACACAAAAGACCAGTACCTGGGACACCATCTTACTAAATGGTGTGAGCCCTGTCCTCCTCAAAAAGCCAAAGAGTCTGGGTGCAATGGCTCACGCCTGTAATCCCAACACTTTGGGAGGCCGAGGCAGGAGGATCACTTGAGGCCAGGAATTCAAGACCAGCCTGGGCAAATAAGTGAGACCCCCATTCCTACAAAAAAATTTTTTTAAAACATTAGCAGGGTCCCAAATACCCAGGAGGCCTAGGCAGGAGGATCACTTGAGCCCAGGAGTTCAAGGCTGCAGTGACCTGTGATTGCACCACTGCACTCCAGCCTCATCATTTAAAAAAAAAAAAAAAGCCAAAAGAGCAAAGAAGTTAAGCTTTTTCTTTCCATGAAAACTTCTTGAAGAAAAACACCCATAGGAAAAGATATTTTAAAAAACTGAATGTGATTAGAACCCCAGGTGCCAGATCCCACACTCTGCCTCAGCGTTCAGCGGCAGGCTTGAGAGCCTTCCTGGAACCCTGCTGGTGAGGAAGTCCAACTTTGTTAAGGGCACGTTCTGGGAAAGGGTGATGAAATCTGTGGCTTCCCCAACCCCCTCCTAAACTAGGCAACTTCCTCGGTCGCCTCCTCTCTCTTCCACTCTTACAAGTCCTTATACACACACACATACATACACGAGGTGTGCACGTGACAGGGCGCAGAGCCAAGGAGGGAATGGGCATCTACCCAGCTCTTATTCCGAGCAGATACTGGGTCTACCCCTGAATGTACTTCTCATTTAATGCTACAACATCTATGTAAGGACTGGACGTTAACAGGATTATTAAAATAGCACACTCCTGCCTGTGGCCCACTGCCCTGCGTGAGCTGGTCTCTGCCCTACCTGTCTGATTCCACCTTGTGCCAATCTCCCCTTTGCTTCCTTAGCTCCGGCTACATGGATGGTTTTCCAGCTCTTTGAACACTCCAAGCTCTTTCCCATACCTCAGGGCCTTTGCAGGTGCTGTCCCACCCTCCTGGAAGGTTCTTAGGCCTGCCAGCACCCTTCTGTACTCAGTTTACACGTCAAACACTAAGAGGCTTTCCCAGACCCGTCTAAAGCAGATCTCTCTGGATCTCTAGTCAGCCAGTCTATATGTTTCCCTAGCATGTTGGTAGCTGTTTTATTTATTCAATATTGGACTTTTTGTTTGTTTGTCTGGCTTCTCTGGAAATTAACAAATCCAGAAATGAACAGAATATATATATATATATTTGAGATGGAGTTCCGCTCTTGTTGCGCAGGCTGGATTGCAATGGCATGATCTCGGCTCACTGTAACCTCTGCCTCCTGGGTTCGAGCAATTCGCCTGCTCAGCCTCCCGAGTAGCTGGGATTAAGGCATCTGCCATCACGCCCAACTAATTTTTTTGTATTTTTAGTAAAGATGCGGTTTCACCATGTTGGCCAGACTGGTTTTGAACTCCTGACCTCAAGTGATCCCCCCGCCTGGGCCTCCCAAAGTGCTGGGATTACAAGTGTGAGCCACAGCGCCCAGCTGCATTAACATTTTTTTTATCTTGATGACTGAGTTCTTGGGTCCTCTGAAATGTTGTGCAGGTATACCTCATTTTTTCATGCTTCACTTTATTACACTTTGCAGACACTGTGATTTTTACAAATTGAAGGTTTGTGGCAACTCTGTGTCGAGCAAGTCTATCAGCGTCATTTTTCCAAAAGCATGTTCTCACTTCCCGTCCACGTTTTGGTAATTCTCGCAATATTTCACATTTTTTCATTATTATTATCTCTATCATGACGACCTGTGATGAGTGACCTCTGACGTCACCACTGTAATTGTTATAGGGTACCATGAGCCCATGTAAGACAGCAAACGTAATCAATAGATGTTGAATGTGACCTGACTGCTCCACACACTGGCCTTTCCCCCGTCTCCTCCCCTCTCCTCAGGCCTCCCTATTCTCTGAGACGCAACGACATTGAAATGAGGCCAATGAATATCCCCACAATGGCCTCCAAGTGCTCACGTGAAAGCAGGAGTTGCCACGTCTCTCACTTTAAATCAAAAGCTGGAAATGATGAAGCTTAGTGAGAAAGGCATGGAGAAAACTTACTGGGTCAAAAGCTAGGCCTCCTACACCAGACGGTCAGCCAAGTTGAGAATACAAAGGAAAAGTTCTCGAAAGATAAAAGTGCTACTCCAATGAACATGAATGATGAGAAAGCAAAACGGTCTACGCTGAGATAAAGTTTGAGTGATCCGGGTAGAAGATAAACCAGCTACAATACTCCCTTATGCCAAAGCCCAATCCAGGGCAAGGCCCTAACTCTTCAATTCTGTGAAGGCTGAGAGAGGTGAGGAAGCTGAAGAAGAAAGGCTGGAAGCTAGCAGAGGCTGGTTCATGATGTTCAAGAAAAGATGCCAGCTCCGTAACATGGAAGTGCAAGGTATAGCAGCAAGTGCTGACGCAGAAGCTGCAGTGAGTTATCCTGAAGACTTAGCTAAGATCATTGATGAAAGTGGCTGCACTAAACAACAGATTTTCAGTGTAGATGAAACAGCGTTCTCTGGGTAGAAGATATGCCATCTAGGACTCTCAAAGCTACAGAGGAGAAGTCAATGCCTGGCTTCAAAGCTTCAAAGGACAGGCTGATTCTCTTGTTAGGGGTTAATGCTGATGATGACTTGAAGTTGAAGCCAATGCTCATTTACCATTTTGAAAATCCTAGGGGCCCTTAAGAATCATGCTAAGTTGGGCGCGGTGGCTCACGCCTGTAATCCCACCACTTTGAGAGGCCGAGGTGGGCAGATCATGAGGTCAGAAGTTTGAGACCAGCCTGGCCAATATGGTGAAACCCCATCTCTACTATAAATACAAAAATTAGCCAAGTGTGGTGGTGCACGTCTGCAGTCCCAGCTCCTTGGGAGGCTGAGGCACAACGACTACTTGAACCCAGGAGGCAGAGGTTGCAGTGAGCCGAGACTGCGCCACTGCACTCCAGCCTGGGTGACAGAGCAAGACTCCATCCCCCAAAAAAAAAAAAAAAAAAAAATCAGGCTAAATCTACTCTGCCTGTGCTCTAAAAATGGAGCCACAAAGCCCAGGTGACAGCACATCTGTGTACAGCATGGTTTACTGAATACTGACTGGCTTTATTTTTTATCCACTTTATTGCAGGGGTATGGAACCAAACCGGCAGTATCTCCGAGGTACATCTGTGCTTAAGGTGACTGCCTCAGCTGCTCAGCGGGCCAGGAGCCCTGGCTCCCAGAGGCAGCTGCCCACGGCCTCTGGGACGCCCCAAATGTCATGCCCACCATGGTAAAGCCTGGAATCTGGGCTCTGAGGTCCCGAGGACCACCCTCAGAGGCTGCTCATCCACTGCTCCCAGCTGGGAGACTGAGGACAGCCTGCCCTGGTGTTCCTGCTTCTCTCCGTCCTCCACAAAGGGAGGCATGGGCTGTTCTTTGACGCCCAGATGCCTCTCTCCAGAGCAGCCCATGAGATGTGCCTCAGGACCAGACTCCTCCTTCCACCCTCCCCTTCCCCTTCCAACACAGGGAGGAGGAGGAGGTAGAGAGGGTGGAGCGTAGAGGGCATGCTGTATGTGCCCACCCACCCAGCACCCACCGGCCCTTCTGGGAACAGCATCTCAAATTCCCCTGGGCCACCAGCCCTTCCTTATTCCCTGCTCTTTCTCGGCAGGGGTTGCTAAGCTGGGAGGATGTGAAGGAAGCTGCCTGAGGCCACACAGTGAGGGCCTGCCCTAAGCCACAGCAACACAGAGGAAAGCAGAGTTCACAGGATGGAGAAGTGGCTCCTCATGGCACAGCTCGGGCACACAGATCCAGCCTCACCTGCTCCCAAGCTCTTTAGCCACACCCCTTTGTTGCCAAGGTGAGGTTGAGCTGGGGCCACGATCACTTGCAACTAAGAAGGCCCTAATACTCCAAGCTGCCCCTGCCCCCACCCAGCACATACTCACCTCTTTCTTCATCAGTTTGAGCTGCTCTTGGAACCTGGCATAGTCCCGATCCTGCTCCAGGCGGATCCGCTTGGCCTCTTCCCGGCGGCGTACGGCATGGTCTTGCTCCATCTTCTCCACTTGCTGCTTCTGCTGACGCTCCAGGTTCTCTAATTCCACGTCAAAGAACTTCTTCTTGGCCTGAAAGGAGCAGAAATTCTGAGAAATTCAGCAAAGTCACTTTGTACTTAGCAGGGACATGGGGAGTGGGATGGGGAGAACTCAGAGCCTGTGATCAGACCTAGGCTTGAATCCCAACTCCACCACCCCCTTGCTGTGTGACCCGGGGCAAGTTGCTTAGCCCGAGTCTCCATTTCCTCATCTGCAAATGGGAGACCAGACCAGCACGTTGCACGGTGCTCAGTAAAGGTTATTTGCCCTCTGGAGATCCTCCCGTGGGACTCGGGATCACTGTGACCTTCACGGGATTCTGTGTTAACAAGTCACCGCCTAACAAGATCAGGAAGCCTCCAGGAATTGGGCAATTGTTGTGAATTACTCTTCACTACCCAATCATTCCCACTATGTAGCTTCCACTGAGAGAACATACAGAGGCAAGAAGCCCTCCAGGGTCCCATCTTTTCTCACACTCACGTTGATTTCCTGTTCAAAACGTTTGTGCATTTGCTCCAGCTGCAGCTCGTGCTTGTTACTCAGCTGGGTCTGGTTCCGATGCTCTTCCTTCTGGAGCAGCCGAAGCTCTCGGAGTTCCTGGCGCCTGAAAGGTTAAAGGATACAGATATGTCACAGTAAGAAACTGGCCTCAGGGATCACAATATTTGCAGCTTGGAACACTGAGGGTTGGATCATGGAGCAAAATCACACAAGTCTTGGTCATAGGCATGACTAGAACTCAGCCTTCATTTGATATTTATTGACAGACAAAACCTTAATAATCTTAATAAATAAAGAGTACCTACAAATCAATAAAAAGGAACACTATCCTAACCAAAAAAAGTGGCAAAGAACATGAACAGACATGAAGCAAAAGATAAAAAGAAATTTTAGAATCACCTATATAGATATAAAAGACAAATGAAACAGAAACCACAATGTCATGATGTAGAAAACATGATGCAGAAAATTTGTGTAGAAACTACATTTTCATGATGTAGAAAATTTGACGGTAGAAACTGGTACATTTCTGGAGGACAATTTGGTTATAAGTTTATGTCTTTTGACACAGTAGTTTCACTTCTGGATACTGATTTTAAAGAAATATTTATCGACGCACAAGACCACTGAATAACAAGAGTCAGCCAGGCATGGTGGCTCACACCTGTAATCCCAGCACTTTGGGAGGCCAAAGCAGAAGAATCACCTGAGGTCTGGAGTTCGAGACCAGCCTGGCCAACACGGCGAAACCCCACTTCTACTAAAAATACAAAAATTAGCTGGACATAGTGGCATGCGCCTGTACTCCCAGCTACTCAGGAGGCTGAGGCAGGAGAATCACTTGAACCTGGGAGGTGGAGGTTGTAGTGAGCCGAGATCATGCCATTGCACTCCAGCCTGGGCTACAAGAGCGAACTCCATCTCAACAACACCACCACAAAAAAAAAAAAAAAAAAAAAGAATATGCAATTATTTAAAATCAATGTTATTTAGTAAAAAATTGGAAGCAAATGCCCATCAATATAGGTCTATGTAAATAAAGTACATTGGTATGATGGAATTCCATACAACTTTAAAAAATTCAAGTTTTAGAAAATGTTTAATTACATAAGGAAACATCTATTAAAAATAAAAATAATTCGGTCAGGCATGGTGGCTCACACCTGTAATTCCAGCACTTTGGGAGGCCAAGGAGGGCGGATCACCTGAGGTCGGGAGTTCAAGACCAACCTGAGCAACGTGGAGAACCCCGTCTCTACTAAAAATACAAAATTAGCCAGGCGTGGGGGTGCATGCCTGTAATCGCAGCTACTCGGGAGGCTGAGGCAGGAGAATCACCTAAACCCGGGAGGCGGAGTCTGTAGTGAGCTGAGATTGTGCCATTGCACTCCAGCCTGGGTAACAAGAGCAAAACTCTGTCTCAAATAATAATAATAATAATAATATTTATGAACAGATATGGAATAATCTCTAGGTTAAAAAAAAAAGCAAGACATTAAAGAATAGGTCTCTTATGCCATCTTATCCGGGAGAAAAAAGGACAACAATATGTGTCTGTACACACATATATGTATTGTTTACTTTTCTAGTATCTCTGGAAGGATTAAACCATAAAACATTAACACAGGAAAGAGAACTGGATTTCTGGTAGGAAAATGAGGGAGGAAAATTTTTCACTGTTTATCTTCTTTCTTTTTTAAAAAAAATTTTGAACCATGATCTTATACAGGTCGAGTATCCTTTACCGAAAAACCTTGGGACCAAAAGTGTTTTGGGTTTCAGATTTTGTTAGATTTTAGAATATTATACTTACTGAACGAGCAACCCTAATCTGAAAATCTGAAGTCTGAAATGTTTCAGTGAGAATCTGATGTCAGTGCTCAAAAAGTTGCAGATTTTGGAGCATTTTGGATTTTGGATTTTTTGATTTGGGATGTTCAACCTTTATTACCTGCTAAAAAATATATAATAAAAATTTTACATAGGCCATGCGTGGTGGCCCATGCCTATAATCCCAGCACTTTGGGAGGCTGAGTTGGGAGGATCACTTGAGCTCAGGAGTTCGAGAGCAGCCTGGGCAACACAGTGAGACCTCATCTCTGCCCAAAAGACAAAAATTAGCTGGGCATGGGGGTGCATCTGTGTGGTCCCAGCTACTTAAAAGGCTGAGGCTGGAAGATTACTTGAGCCCAGGAGGTCCAGGCTGCAGTGAGCCATGACTATGCCACTTGCACTCCAGCCTGGGCAACAGAGCAAGATCCTGTGTTAAAAAAAGAAAAAAAATTGACCTTAGCCACATGCCCTAATTTTGTATCTATATTGCCAGTATGTATATGTGTGTACTCACAGAAAAAATATTGGAGGGATAAGCCCCAAGTGTTTACCATGTTTCTTAATGAGCAAATCCATTAAAAATTGCTATGTAGGCCGGGTGCGGTGGCTCACACCTGTAATCCCAGCACTTTGGGAGGCCGAGGTTGGCGGATCATTTGAGGTCAGGAGTTCAAAACCAGCCTGGCCAACATGGTGAAACCCCATCTACTAGAAATACAAAAATTAGCCAGGTGTGGTGCTGCACGCCTGTAATCCCAGCTGCTCGGAGGCTGAGGCAGGAGAATGGTGTGAATCTGGGCGGCAGAGGGTGCAGTGAGCCGAGATTGTGCCACTGCACTCTGTCAGACTCTGCTTAGAAAAAAAAAAAAAAAGAAAAAAGAAAAAACTGCCACATGTCATTTATATAATCAGAAAAAAAGAAAAAAAATCAAACTACTACAGAAAGAACCTGAGCATCCTGACTGAGCTGGGGGCTCCTGGCGGCCTCTCGGGGTCGGGGTCCGTGAGGCCTGTGTCCTAGTCCAGTGCAGCGCCATGCTGATTCCCATGAGGCCACACTCTGACCCCAGCGGCCTTCCTCATGGCTCGGAGGGACCATAACTGCTTACAGAACTGCCCCCCAAGAGCAGCACAAGGAGGGGTTGGGCAGTGCAGTGAGGCCAAGCACATTCTCTGGGGTCACAGCGCCCATCTGAATCTAGGCTCAGTCAGCTTTCCAGCTGGGTGACCTCTTGGAGAGTCACTCATCCTCGTGGCACTCATTCCCTCCTCTGCAAAATGAGGCTAATGATCTTTACCTCTTGGGTCCTTTGAGGGATAAATGAGATGGCACAGGTCAGGTGCCCACGTGGCACATGACCAGCACTCTGTAAGTGGCAACTGCTCGAATTCTACCAAGGAAGAAGAGGCAATGGCTGCCCTGCCTCTGGGAACAGCCAGAGGTGCTTTCTACAGCCGCAGAGGGAAGACTGAGCCTCTGCTTCTCTGGAAAGCGAGAAGAGAAGAGGCAGTTTTTGAGAGTGTTAATGAGGAAACGGAAATCCTGACTCAAGAGAAACTAAGGTTTAGAGAAGAATTGACAAAAAGCGTAAAAAGGAGTACAGAAAGAAGGCAGGCAGCCAGACTCTAGCACTCCCTGGCCCACCTGTGCTCTCAGAAGAAAAGGCAGGCAAGGAGAAGACTGGGACTCAAGGGCAAGGGAACGGCAGAAGCGGTTTTAGGGAGGGACAGGAGGAGCTCTGCCCGGAAGCCTTGTCAGTCTGGGAATGTGATAAATGCTCAACCACATAGTTCAAAAGCCGAGGTGTGACCCAGTTCTCCAAAAATGCCAGGGCTCAGGTATGGCCAGGGGCCTGGGCCAGCAGGGAATGATCAGGGCCAGCCACACCCCTGGCGTGTGGCAGCCTGGCCTGGTTTACAGCTGCTCAGACCTCCAGACCACGGCAGGCAAACGAGAAAACGCTGGTTCCTGACGAGCACCTCTTCACCTCCTCAAGTCTCACCTTTTGACCCTGAGTAGCACACAGCTGCTCTGCTTAGGAGGTGGATGGGGACCCACAGCCAGGGCCAGAGAGCACTGCTTCTTCATGGGGTGTGGCCAATCTAGAATTCTATCCCTGGGAACTTCAATTGCCCAGAGGGGAGGTGATGAAAACCCACCTCTTGAGGCTGAAGCTCAGAGTCCAGAGTGCCTCTCAGGTGACCATTAGTTTGAACAGAAGGTGGTGTCATCTGCCCAAACAACCTGTGCCCTAGTCTCCCAATCCACACAGATGACACCTGTGTGTGTGTGTGTGTGTGTGTGTGTGTGTGTGTGTGTGTGTGTGTGGTGTATGCAGATACCACACTAACTAGTGAAAAATCTGTCTTTCCTCCCCCTGTTCCCAGAGGGAGAAGTGATCCAGAACATCTAAAACTACTTTTATTTGGTTTTGGCTTATTTATCTATTTATTTATTTTTATTTTTATTCTGAGACAGAATCTCACTCTGTCACCCAGGATGGAGTGCAGTGGCATCATCTCGGCTCACTGTAACCTCCGCCTCCTGGATTCAAGTGATTCTCCTGTCTCAGCCTCCCGAGTAGCTGGGATTACAGACGCCCGTCACCACGCCTGGCTAATTTTTGAATTTTTAGTATTGACCAGGTTTTGCCATGTTGGCCAGGCTTGTCTCGAACTCCTGACCTCAAGTGATCCATCTGCCTAGGTCTCCCAAAGTGCTGGGATTAAAGGTGTGAGCCAATGTGCCTGGCGTATGCTTTTATTTTTTACAATTTAGTTTTAAAATTTATTTTTGAGAGACAGGGTCTTGCTCTGTTGCCCAGGCTGGAGTGTGGTGGCATGATCGCAGCTCACTGCAGCCTTGACCTCCTAGGCTCAAGTGATCCTCCCACTTCAACCTCCCGAGTATCTGGGACTATAGGTATGTGCTCAGCTAATTTTAAAATTTTTTGTAGAGACACTATGTTGCCCAGGATGGTCTCGAATTCCTGGGCTCAAGTAATCCTCTCACTTCAGCCTCCCAAAGTGCTGAAATTATAGGTGTGTGCTGCTGTGCCCGGCTGCATGCTTATGCTTTTAAAAGAATATGAATATTAGGCCGAGCATGGTGGCTCACACCTGTAATTCCAGCATTTTGGGAGGCCGAGGCGGGCGAGTCACAAGGTCAGGAGTTCGAGACTAGCCTGGCCAATATGGTAAAACCCCGTCTCTACCAAAAGTACAAAAATTAGCAGGGCGTGGTGGTGGGCACCTGTAGTCCCAGCTACTCAGGAGGCTGAGGCAGGAGAATCGCTTGAAACCGGGAGGCAGAGGTTGCACTGAGCTGAGATGACGCCATTGCACTCCAGCCTGAGCGACAGAGCGAGACTCCGTCTCAAAAAATAAAAATAAATATATAAAATTAAAAAAATTTTAATTCACATGTATAAAAACATGTGATTAATGTTCCAGAAATTTTCTCTACACTAATCATGAATTTACCTTGCAAAGGCCTGGCCCCTAGGGAACTCCGTGGCTCCATGGCCTCCCTAAGTGTTAAGCTCCCCCAACTCCTGCCAACTACAAGGTCCAGTGAAACCTGAAGGAATTCTCACACAGACAGACCCAGTTAGAATCCCAGCTTTACCCCTGCCCAGCTGGAAGACCCGGGGCAAGTGACTTACTTGCCCAGAAACAGTGTTTCCTCCTTTGTTTACAAAATGTGGAAATAGGGTCTCCCGAAGGAGGGCTGCAAGTGGGGGATGGAGAACTGAAAAGTATAAAGACGGATCCCAGCAAACAGCTTTGCCTCACACCTTCCTCCCTGTTCCAATCCTTCACCAGCTCACTGGTTTTGCCTCCAAAATGTAGGTCAAATCTGACCACGTTTTTCCCTCTTCCCGGCCACTGCCCCAGCCTGAGCCCAGAGACTGCCCAGAGAGTCAAGATCTCCCTGTCTCCCTCCACCAGTCCCCCTTAAAGACGCTGAGTAGTTATTACTCAGGGTCTCAGCAACTGCAGTTTCCCTTGGGCTCCCCCGAGCTCTCCTCCCCTTATCCTTTAGGCCTGGCTCAGGGGCTTCCCTTGCAGCAGCCTTCCCCACTCCAAGCACTCACCATCATGTCACCTGTTACTTCCTTCATGGCACGTAGGACAATCAGGGATTATCTTGTGTACTGTATGTTGGCCCATTAGGTGTTAAGTTCTACAAGGGCAATGGCCTTATCTATTTGGGTCACCACCTTGTCTCCAACCTGGTGGGTTGGTGTATACATGGATGGATAGATGGATGAATGGTTAGGTAGACAGGTGGAGGGCTGAATGGGTAGATGGGTGGGTGGGTGGATGGGGGGTAACTGGGTGGATGACTGGGTAGACAGATGGAAAGGTAGATAGGGAGTAGGTAAATAGATGGATGGATAGATAAATGAATGGAAGAATAAACGGATGGATGGGTGATTGGGTGGATGGCTAGATAAATAGATGGATACTTGGGCAGATGGAGGGAAGGATGGAATGGTGAGTGAGTAGATGGATGGGTAGATGGTTAGCTGGATAAATGGAAGGTGAGTGAGTGGTAGATGAATGAGTGGATGACTGGATGGATGGATGGATGGATGGATAGATGAATGGATGAATGGATGGGTGAACGATTGGGTGGATAGATGGACAGGCAGATAGCTGAGTAGGTGGATAGATGGGTGGATAAATGAATGGAAGGATGGATGATTAAGTAGATGGGTAGACGAATGGGTGCACAGTTGGATGGATGGATGGAAAGGTGAGTGGGTAGATAGGTGGATGGGTGGAGGGGTGAGTGGGTGGAAGAGTGGGTAGACTGATGGGTGGATAGATGAATAGATAGATAGGTGAACAGGTGGATAGATGGGTGAATAAATGAATGGATGGGTGGATAGATAGATGAATGGTTGGATAAAGGGGGGAGTGCAGGATCTAAGGCAAAATGGGTTTCCTTTTGTCTCCTTGATTCCCCCACTTCATGCTGTAGACAGACAGCCCTCTCACCAAAAGGGCCAATGCCCACACCTCTTACCATAGCCCAACCCTCTTACCACCATTGGTGGCCCTTCCCAGGCTTGCCTGAGAAATCTCATCTCCTCATCCTTCTTCTCATCTTCGCTGATGATCTTGGAGGTGGTGATGCTCACCTCCACACCATCCACCACAAATTTGCGTGTCCGCTTGAGGGTTTTTTTGTGCAGCTTTGGGTCCTGGCCAGGGAAAACCATTAGACAAGTCTCAGAATCGCAGCTAAGGACCACCTGCCACGGCAGGTGAGGCCACAGCTCTGCTGGGCCCACAGCTTCAGCACCACCCCCAGAGAGATGTAGCCATCCATCTTTCCTCTTGCCTCAACTTAACCTAGGAGCTGGAGGGTCTGAGCTTATTCCCTTGCCTTTCCCAGGTCTCAGTCTTCGGACACTGTGCTGAGGCCTCCCCCACCTCGCTGCCAGCACCTCTCATGCATCCAGGACATGGTGTCAGAAAGAGCTGCGTTCTAACCCTCACTCCACCACTTACTGGTTCTGTGTCTCCAGGCCAGCTTCTTGTCCTGCCTGAGCCTCAGCTTCCTCACCTTTCAGGGAGGACAATCACACTACTTGCCTCCCAGGGTAGTTGTAAAGATCCAATGAGAGAACACACGGTGGATCCACAGCGCAGTGCCCACTCCCGATGCATGTTCCATGCCTGGCATTTCTTTCTGACGGTTATTACTGCAGACCACACACAACCTTCGCGCAAGGTGCCAAAATCCCAAGGAGCTCAAAAATTAAAGGCTGTTTTCATAACTGGTTTGGTAGCCAAACCACCGTGAGATTATGCATCGTCGTGATCTTTTACTGTGAGGAATCACACATGCCACAAGTGGTTGTGCAGGTGCCACCCGGAATCCTGGAGGTGTCAGTGTGTCTTAATACGTGGTTCCCTCTGGAAGTTCTCAGCTCTGATTCTGAAGGTGTCCCCATAACCCTCCCGCTCTGCCCACTGCCTCTGGCCTCTTGGCTGGTTTCAAAAACTCCTTTAAGATGGCGTCTCGCTCTGTTGCCCAGGCTGGAGTGCAGTGGCGCAGTCTCAGCTCACTGCAACCTCCGCCTCCCGGGTTCAAGCGATTCTCCTGCCTTAGCCTCCTGAGTAGCTGGGATTACAGGCATGTGCCACCACGCCCGGCTAATTTTTTTTTTTTTTTTGCAGGGGGACGGAGTCTTACTCTATTGGCAGGCTGGAGTGCAGTGGCGTGACCTTGGCTCACTGTAACCTCCACCTCCCAGATTCAAGCAATTCTCCTGCCTCAGCCTCCTGAGTAGCTGGGACTACAGGTGCCTCCCACCACGCCCGGCTAACTTTTGTATTTTTAGTAGAGACAGGGTTTCACCATGTCAGCCAGGATGGTCTCGATCTCTTTACCTCGTGATCCGCCCACCTCGGCCTCCCAAAGTGCTGGGATTACAGGCGTGAGCCACTGCGCCCGGCCATGCCGGGCTAATTTTTTTATTTTTATTTTTAGTAGAGACAGCGTTTCGCCATGTTGGTAAGGCTGGTCTCGAACTCCTGACCTCGTGATCCACCCGCCTCGGCCTCCCAAAGTCCTGGGATTACAGGCGAGAGCCATAGCACCCGGCCCGAAGACTCTTTTTGGTGTAGCCCAGCCCTGCCCTCCTAACGAAGGGCCTCCCAGCCTCTGAAAGAAGACTGAGGAACCAGCGTGGCAGGATGCTGAGCCCCACTCCTGCTGAGTCGAGAGCGGCAGACTGTTCTTGCTCCCTGAAGTCTGGGCCCCTGTCTCCTGCCCATGGCACCTCGCCCAGGGGAGCTGGACAGCATCAGCATAGACCCAGCATGCCCGACTCTCATCTCTCTATGGTGGCCAGCTCACATGTGCCAGGACCCAGGCAGGATGGGTCAGACCGGCCATGAGAAGTGGAGGCTGGCAGGAGCGAGAGCGGAGGGGAAGAAGGGGCATCCACAGCCACAGCCCTCTGCTGAGACCTGTTCCTGGCCAGGGGGCCTCCATCGCTGAAGGAACAGGCTCCTAGTCACGCCCAGGGGTGCTGGCGCAGCGGGGGACTCTCATTAGAACAGCTGGAGGTCCCTGACACACTGCAGTCAACCAGCAACATTCTCCACAGCCTTGAGAAGAGCAGGGGAGCCCCTGCTCTCGGTGGGTCTTCCTCATTAAAAAGTCAAACAAAAAACCCTTTTGTTCACCTAGTGTCTTTAGGAAAAGTGGCAGGATGCCTGTCCGAAGGAAGACGCTGCTCACAGATAACAGCTGCTGTGCATGCTTGTCACGTGGCCTGTTGGAAATGTGCTTCCCTTCCCTGCCTAAAGCTGACTGGCCGTTGCGGCTCCTGTCACTCCCCTTTGCTTAGCAAATACGTTCGAGTCTCTACTGCGTTTTTCACCAAGTAAATTTGGGAAGGAAAAACAAAACCATACAGTATTTCCTCTAAAATGAGCCTTGGGTAGAGGGTCAGGTGACCCATCGTGAGTTTAATAACACCCTGGGATTTATCGGGGAGGCCAGGAAAGGAGTCAGCCCCTTCCAGCTGCCTAAGAAGAAGGAGGCCATGGCTCCCACTGGGACAGTTTCGAGTTCGGAGCCTAGGGTCTGACCACCTTCCCACTCCTACCTGGCCCTGGGCTGGCTCCTCACTTCCCTGAGCCTCCTCGGCTTATCTGTAATGTGAGAGGATGAAGGAGGCTGTCTGTTCTTTCTAAAGCACTTGTACAGGGTTCGCCTCCCGCCCAGGCCTCTAGTGCGGTGGCTATTGTCATTCACAACACTGCCCACCTCCAGAAAGGCCCCGGAGGCAGGGAAGACAGCTTTGAGCTGTTTCTTTAGTTGGATTTACCAGTTACCAGCTGGGTCTCGTGGCTGACCTCCGGATGACAGAAATTCATTTGTAGCTAAGGCCTGAGAGTTCTCGCTCCCAAATTTCACCAGGGCATTTTACCAAGCTTTGAAATTTAAACCCAAACCAACTGCTTGACGTTCCTAAATCCCACACTGAACCCAGATATTCTGGAGATTAAACCATGAGTCAAACCAAAACTCCTTAATGAACCGCTTAAAATGCAAGGAAGCCCCTAAACGCTTTTGAAAGCAAAATGGAGCTGCAGAACATCCCGCAATGGTCTCGCTGCAAGCCCGTGGTGGGAGAGGCGGCGTTACCTTGATGGACAGAGAGCCCATCTCTTTGTTCAGCGACAGATCGGCGGAGAGATTGGTACCGTAGTCCATGCTCTCAGAGGTGCAGAGGCTGCTGCAGTCCGAGTCCCTCTTGGAAGGGCCTGGAGCTGCCTGGGCAGGGGGCTCCAGGCTGCCATTGGCCAGCTTCTCCCCACCCAAGGTCTCCAGGGCGCTGCTGTTGGGCCGGCTCTGGCTGGTCTTTTGAGATCTGTTGGCTGCTGGGCTGAGGTCCCCACCCTGCTCAGCAACTTGCTTCTCCTGGGCTACCTGAATTCTGGCATCCATTGACACAGGTCGGGACTTCCGCAGGGGCACAGGCACTGCTAGGCCGTTCTCATTTCCAGGGGCCACGACTGGGGCGCTGGTGGTTTGGGGGGATTCGTCCCCAGAGGGCTGGCTGCAGGGCTCATTCACACTGTCCTGAGACTGGCTGGGTGCCAGCGGGGTGGAAGATGGCTCCGTGAGAGGCTTGTCAGCATTGAGGCTTGGCGGACTCACCTCAGAGGAGTTCTGAGTATGGTTCTCCAGAGTCTAGGAAAAAAAAAAAGATAGTCAAGGCCATGCTGCTGTATGTTCAAGGCAAGAGTCAGAGATGCAATGGAGAGAGTCAGACACCCTCAAGATGAAGTGGGCCAGGGCCAAGAAAGGAGAGCAGACATCTCCCTAGCCACGGTCTTCCTCTCTCCCTACTGCCTAACCATAAAAAATTACTATTTATTTTGAGGCATAGCAATCTCCTCGCTATCTCTAATCTTAGCCGAATGTAATAGCTGTTATTCCTCCTAGGAGGCAGCTGTGGCCAGCTGGCCAGCTCATGGCCCACAGGGAGGGGTCAGTGGCCACTCCATTCCAGCCAATTGTGATAATGTGGGAAAATGGCTCCCCTGTGCCCAAACCTTCCCAGTTTTTAAATCTTAATGTTTTAATTTTATTTATCTATTTTTTTGAGACAGGGTCTTGCTCTGTCACCCAGGCTGGAGTGTAGTGGAGCCATTTTGGCTCAATGCAACCTCTGCCTCCCAGGCTCCCACCTGGGAGTGGTCCTCCCACCTCAGCCTCCTGAGGAGCCTCCTGAGTAGCTGGGACTACAGGTGCATGCCACCACACCCAGCCAATATTTGCATTTTTTTAGTAGAGACAGGGTTTCGATATGTCACCCAGGCTGGTCTCAAACTCCTGGACTCAAGTGATCTGCCTGCCTCGGCCTCCCAAAGTGCTGGGATTACAGGTGTGAGCCACCGCACCCAGCAAAACCTTCCAATTCTTAAAGACAAGTTTGAAATCTAGGTTTTTAATGGACATCTCTTAACTTTTAGGTGGCAACTAACTCATATTTTTTAAAAAGTCACATAAAGGCCAAGCCAAGCCTGTCTGGGGACTGGATTCAGCCCCTGTGGCCACTAAGTTTTCAGCTTCATTTTTGTGTTTTAGAGTCTTTGTTGGGTGGAAAGTACTGGAAATGTTGCTATGCTATGGTGAAACAGAACATCCTTCCTGTGTATAAAACATAAATGTCCAACTTGGTGAACAGAGTGAGTATCCATGTAGCCACTTTCCAGGTCAGGAGGGGACCACTGCTTTGCCCCAGAGGGCCATCCCCTGCCGCCCCATCCTTCTCAGTGGCAATGCTCTCCCACCTCTTGATGTAGTCACTGTTCTGTGGTCTCTAAGTGCTACGGGTGAGCTGTGCCTGCTTCTAAACGTGGTATGAATGGATTTATACTATAAGCATTCCTTTGGGTCTTGCCAGCCACTGGTTTTTAACCTCAGCTATGGCAGCTGGTGGAAGCAACTCCAATCTACCTTCTGGTCGGCACCCACAGTGATGGCTCAAAAACTCAGATCTGATTCTGTCACCTCCAGAGTACCCAGTCCCTGCCTGAAAGCCTTCAGGGCTCCCAGTACCCTCAGGACAAAGATCAGCCTCCTGCCGGTAGACAACGGGGCTGGGCGTGAGCGCTTCCCGCCTCCTCCTGGAGCCAGGCCCCACTGAGGTTCTCCTACTCCACATCCACCCCGGCCCTGTCATCTATCAGCTCAGCCAGCCACTTCACTGCATCGATCTCAGTTTTCCTGTGTGTAAAACGGAGCTTGGTTACCCTGTATCAGAGCTGTAGAGTGCCCGGCAGCCACCAGGGGCTCCATGCATGGCTGGGGTGGTTGTGATGATTCTGCTTGCCCCGCCCCTCGGGCCTTTCCTTCTTCACCCTGGTGAGGGTCTGCGCCAGCCTCAGGCTTCACCCAGGACTGAATTAAATCTGAGAGAGCCTCAGTGCCGTCCACAGCACAAAGATGTGGGCCAGCTCCATCCCGTGATGGGTAAGTCCAGCCCTTGCTTCTCTAGGTACAGGGAGCCATCGGGACGGCCACCCTATCCCTGGGAAGAGGCCTCCCCCAGCAGCAAGACCAGGGACTACAGAGCAACAGCTCGGGCCAGAATCCAGCCCACAGACATGTTTTCCTTGGCTCAGAGGGTTTTTAGAAATTTAAATCAGCTTTAATTTCAATCTAAATCCAGCAAGCACTGAAGCTGCAAAAGCGTTCCAAATGTGCCCAGACATGGGTTCCCTTGGCACCGAGCACAGCTAGAGGGGGGCCAGGGTGCTGCCTGTGGCCATATGCAGCCTCACGTATTTATCCCAAAGTGAGCTAAAAACAGTCTCATTTGGGACGTGAGCCGTGACGGGAACAAAGGATGGGAAGCCATGAATCAGTTACCAACTCTTAAAAATTGGAAGATTTCATGTGAAAATCTAGATCCCTGGTACCTCCTGAAAACTCGCAGGATCAGGATCCGGCCAACACCCTCTGCCGCCAACCCCCCGCCCCCGGCCCACAGGCCAACTTACGTTACCTGCAGCATGGGCGTCTGCAACCTCTGAGCTGGGAAGAAATTGCCTGAGCCAGAGTCCCGGCTTGCCCTGCCCCTCCCACACCAGCAGGGCCAGCTGAGATCCCGTCCTCCCAGCCCCCGCTAAGCCCCACTCTCCCCGGCCTTACGGAGGTGGCATCCACGGGGTCCTCCTCTTCCCCCTCATCCCGGCCGTCTTCAATCTCTTCCATCACCTCGGCCTTGGCCTCAGCCACCAGCTCCCGCAGAGCCTTGTTACTGGTGATGCTGCTGACAAAGGGATGCTGAGGGGGCAAAATGTACCTAGATTAGAACCACTCTGGGGTCAGGGTGGGGTGGAAGAGGCTGGGGGAGCTTATCCCCCAGGGCAGAAAAGGCCAGCCTCATTCCTGAGCAAAATGTACACATGAACTTGGAGACCCAGAGACAGCCTGGAAAGTCCCAAGTGTGTTGGAAAAAGGGCAGATCCCAGCTCTGTCTCTCAGTGGCTATGTGACCTTGAGCATGTCACTTAACCTCTCTGAGCCACAGGCTCCTCATCTCTCAAGTGGACACGATAACAAGGAACCCACAGGGAGGTCATGCGGATTAAATGAGATCATGCACTTGAAAATGCTTAGCCCAAAGTAGGAGCTCAAGCCGTGTTTGCAGGGAAGGTGTCTATTTTCCTTTTTAAATGGTTTTAATATATAGTTTTACAAAATATGCTACATATATTTTGTTGAGGAATAACATTCCTACCGCAAAGTTCACAGGTTGTAAACCTCAATGACTTTTTTTTTTTTTTTTTGAGACAGAGTTTCACTCTTGTTGCCCAGGCTGGAGTGCAGTGGTGCAATCTTGGCTCACTGCAAACTCCATCGACCAGGTTCAAGGGATTCTCCTGCCTCAGCCTCCCAAGTAGCTGGGATTACAGGCATGCACCACCATACCAGGCCAATTTTTTGTATATTCAGTAGAGGCGGGGTTTCACCATGTTGGCCAGGCTGGTCTCAAACTCCTGACCTTAAGTGATCCACCCACCTCAGCCTCCCAAAGTGCTGGGATTACAGGCGTGAGCCACCATGCCCAGCCTCAATGACTTTTTACATATATATGCACCCAGCGTAACTGCCACCCAGCTCAAGATACAGAACATTTCCATCACTGGGGAAGGCTCCCGTCTCCCTTGGCAGGCAACCCCACTCCCACGCCACCAGCCTCGGGAGCCTGCTCCTCAGCTTCCTAGAATCAGAGCATCGTGTATGCAGTCTTTCGCGTTGGCTTCCTTTACTCGGCGTCATGACTGTGAGATTCACCTACATTGTCATCTATTTCGGTAAACTGTTCCTGTTTTATTTCTGTGCAGGGTCTCACTGTACGAATATGGCAGTTTGTTTATTCATCCTACTGCTGCCGGACATCTGGGCTGTTTCCCACTTTTGGCAACTATGAATAAAGCTGCTAGAGACATTCTCGTATATGTCTTTGGGTGGACATATGTGTTTGGTTTTAAGAAAGGAAATACAAGATCTTGAGGCAGAGTGGTGTATGTTCTATTCTAGGTTTTTAGAGAAATGTCAGAGTCTTTAAAAGTGAATGTTCTTTTACGGACCTTGCAAAACGCCAAAGCAAAAGGTCTTAGCGATATTAAGTCAGTGTGAGGTGTCGTGGGTGAAGGCACCCGGGTGTAGCCAGGGATGTGGGATTCCTCAACCCACCATGCTCACCCAGGGCCACTGGGAAAGGAGTGATGGGGTGGGGTGGGGGCATGATGAAGCTAGAATTTGCTCATTTACAATTTACAGGAAGGCTCTCAAGAAATTCACTGTTTTTACTCTCAGAAAATTTATCCGGGGAGGAAGTGTCAACAAGATTGCTGGGGAAGTATTTAAATGACTAAAAAACAAATTTCTAGCACCTGGAAAGCACATTCAGAAAGATATGTTCATAACAAATCATTCTTATCTGTTTGTTCATTTAAAACAGTTTAATTGGCCGGGCGCGGGGACTCAAATGATAAACCAGAGAATTTCAGATCTTGTATAGCTGAGGCTGGTGGAGACCAAAGTCTGCAGGCATTCAAAGTCGAATTCAAGGGATATGAAGGGGTTCCCCAGGGAAAGATCTGGGCACAGAGAATTCCAGGCAGAGGGAGCAGCTGGTACAAAGAAGGCCCAGAGACTGGACTGAGCTTGGCGGCAGGAGCCACAAGACAGGCGGGATGGTGGGACACAGGACGCAGAGGAATGATGGGGTGTGTATACAGGTGAACCACAGAGACTGTCCTCACAAGCCACCAGCAGGCTGCAGTGCAGCAGTGATACTACCACCCTTTAAAGATGTCATTCTGGCTGCTCTGTACTTTTAAGAGGTCTTGAGTGGGGCATTAAGGGTTTACTAATCATGGGAGGCAAAGTAGCATAGAAGTTAAGAGTGCTGGCTATAGACGCTAGAACCAAGGCACCTGGTAAAATCCAGCCTCCACCAACTGGGGCAAGTCACTTAACCTTGAGTCTCAGTTTGCTCAACTATATACTAGGAGCAGCTGTTATAAGCATTATGGTAAATGCTCAGATATGGCAGCCATCATCATCACCATCATCTTCCTTCACCACCATCACCACTACCATCACTACCATCATCACCACCATCATCCCCATCACCATCACCATCACCCCCATCACCACTATCATCACCATCACCACGACCATTACCATCACCACCATCACCCCCATCAGCAGCAGGAGCAGCAGCACAATCAGAAAAGCCTGTTATGGCTGGGTGCGGTGGCTCACACCTGTAATCCCAGCACTTCGGGAGGCCAAGGCGGTGGATCACCTGAGGTCAGGAGTTCAAGATCAGCCTGGTCAACATGGTGAAACCCAGTCTCTACGAAAAATAACAAAAATTAGCCGGGCGTGGTGGCACATGCCTGTAATCCCAGCTACTTAGGAGGCTGAGGCAGAAGAATTGCTTGAACCCAGGAGGCAGAGGTTACAGTGAACCAAGATCATGCCACTGCACTCCATCCTGGGTGACAGAGGGAGACTGTCTCAAAAACAACAAAAAAAGAAAAGCCTGGTTTGCATTCCTAGTCACTCCTATTCCCTCCCAAATGCCCCCAGAGTACAGCTCTTTGGAACCAAAGGTGAGAACCAAGATCTCAAAGGTTCCTAAGCTCCACATTGCACAATCTAATACAAGTGAACTTGAGCGAAATGCCACAGGACACTTCACCGCAGTGGCTGAAGCAGATGCGGCAGAAATAAATAAATGCAGACATGGGCTTCTGGAAACACCAGATTTTCATCGGGGCACCCCATGTATTGATCAAATCAGTGGCTTTTCAGCACAGCCAGGAACTCCGCTTTCTTGAGGCAGAACCATCTGCTCCACTGCCTCCCCCGACCACCCCAGCGTCCTTAGGAGGAGGAAGGGGGGCATGGGGAAGAAAGCCTGTGATAGGCAGGTGAGCAGGGCAGCTCTGCGGGCACCAGAGCAAGCAAGGCTGGCACACAGGGCCACCAGTCCTGTGGCTAATTAGGCCCAAACACTGTTTTACAGACTGCTCTGGGACACAAAACACAGACCACCTCCGACACTCCATCAGCTCCGCCTCCAGAGATGTGTTTAAAGGCCCATTAAAGAGATAACGCCCTGGCTATGCTGCAAGGGAGAATGCTAGCCTGCACCAGGTAGGCTGGTCTGGGCACACATGTCCCCAGTGGAAGGCTAGATGACAGAGGAACTTGACCGCCCAGTTCTCCAGTAAGAGGCACTGGGTGGCTGTTCAGTGCCATCTTTGCTGAAAAAGGCCAAAACAGGTGGCATCACACAGCTCGCCAACCAGCACCTGCCCTCTAGCCAGGGCCTCCCCTGCCATCTAAACAGACATTCTTTCCAAGAACTGGAGCCTACTTTTCCTCTATGTGCTTAGAAACCGTCAGCCAGAGGGGTCCTATACTCCAAGATGGGCTGTAAAAAACGCTGAATAGGCCGGGCATGGTGGCTCACACCAGCACTTTGGGGGGCCAAGGTGGGCGGATCACTTGAGGTCAGGAGTTCGAGACCACCCTGGCCAACATGGCGAAACCCCATCTCTACTAAAAATACAAAAATTAGCCGGGCGTGGTGGCAGGCGCCTGTAATCCCAGCTACTTGGGAGGCTGAAGCAGGAGAATCGCTTGAACCCAAGAGGCGGAGATTGCAGTGAACCAAGATCAGGCCACTGCACTCCAGCCTGGCAACACAGCGAGATTCCATTTTTAAAAAATAAAAAAAATAAAAACACCTAATAATGCTCACAGTTTCCAGGCACTGGCATCTCTTTGAATCCTCTCTCCCTCTCTTCTGGTCTCCCTCCCTCCTTCTCGCTCTTTCATTCATTTGGAGAGGCAGATTGCCAGAGAGGTCAAGAGCACAGACTCTTGAACCTGAGGACCAGGTTCAGAACCCAGCTCTGTGGCTTACAGGCTATGTGACCTTGTGTAGGCTACTTCACCGCTGTGTACCTCAGTTTTACCATCGGCTCAATGGAGAACTGAACAGCACCTACTTCAGAGCGTTGGTATGAGGATTAAATTAGGTGACATTTGCTAAGTACTTAGAGTAGTACCTGGCATGGAGGTACTACCACCATCATCACCTTCACCACCATCACCACTACCATCACCACCATCATTACCATCACCACCATCATCACCATCACCGTCATCACCACCATCGTCCCCATCACCATCACCATCTCTGGACAAAGGGTTATGTAACCGTTTGTTAGGTAAAAATAAGTCAATTTTGGCCAGGCGTGGTGGCTCACACATGTAATCCCAACACTTTGGGAGGCCGAGGCAGGCAGATCTCCTCAGGTCAGGAGTTTGAGACCAGCCTGGCCAACATGGCGAAACCCCATCTCTACTAAAAACACAAAAATTACCCAGGCGTGGTGGCGCATGCCTGCAATCCCAACTACTTGGGAGGCTGAGACAGGAGAATCACTTGAACCCAGGGGGTGGAGGTTGCAGTGAGCTAAGATACCTCCACTGCACTTCAGCCTGGAGACACAGTGAGACTCCATCTCAAAAAAAAAAAAAAGTCAATTTATTTAGCAAATATTTGCTGAGGGCTCTCTACATACCAGGCACTGTTCCTGGGACCTATCGGTGAACGAAACAAAGATGCTGACCTCGGAGCGCTGACATGCTAAGCGAGGAGTTTGACAACAAACCTAATAAGCAAGTAACATCCTGAGTGCCATGGGCCATGGAAGAAGGAAGAAGTAGGGCAGGGAAAGAGGACCGGGAATGTGGGGAGTGTAGTGGGTTCACAATTTCATGTGGGTGGTTGGGGGAGGCCTCAGCACAAGGCTGACATTAGAGCAATGACTTGGAGAGTAAGTCACAGAGGGATCCGGAGGAAGGCCATTCCGGGCAGCACAGACAGCCAGTGCCAAGGCCCTGAGGCAGGAACATGCCTGCTGTGTTCGGAGCACAGCAAGGGGGCTGGGCAGGCTGGAGCAGAGTGAGGCTGGAGTGTGGGAGCGAGAGAGGCGAGGGGGTCAGAAGGGTGGGCGGGCGGATCACACAGCACTCTAACAGCCCTGAGACTCTGGGTTTTTCCTAGAGTGAAATGGCAGCCACTGGGGAGCTTCGGCCAGGGCAGGACATGAGCTGGCCCCTGTTGAGAAGGTTCCCTCTGGCTGCTGTGCTCAGCCCAGACCCAACGGAGAGGGTAGGGGACCAGCGTGGAGGCAGCAGCTCGAGTGGGAGGTGGTGGCAGCCCAGGTAGTGGCTGCAGTGGAAGGGCGGGAAATGGTTGAAGTCTAGACATGTGCTGAGGGCAGGGACAACAGGATTTCCTGATAGGTGGGCTAGGAGTGTGGAGGAAAGAGAAGCAAGGGTGCCTGCATGGTTTGGGGCCTGAGCCACTGGAAGGGTGGAGCTGCCATCGGCTAAGATGGGAAAGCCAGTGGTGGAGCACGTCGGCAAAAAGATCCAAGTGCTCAGAGTTCGTGTGAGATGCCCGCTGGACATCTGGGGAGTAAACAGCTGGACGCGGGCCGAGGCATCGAGCTGGGAGTGCTGCACGCTGGGCACGTGGAGATGGAGGGAGGGCCCTGTGCACTCTCATGCTAACAAGACGGGCCAAAGTGGGACGAGCAAAGGCAAAGGAGAAGGAGAGGCTGATGACCAAGGGTGTGTGGAGGTCTGGAGGTCGAGTGCCGACAGGAGGAGGAGGAGATCGACTGGGCTGGTGCCGTTGATGGGTCCAGTGAGACAAACACCGAGGCTGACCCATGGCACAGAAATCTCTGATGACCTTGACAAGAGCAGCTGTGACAGAGTGGACGGGTTTAAGAGCAAATTCAGCCAGTATCTACTCAGCATCTCATATGTGACAGCTGTGGTGTTAACAATGTTCCATACAAAATCTCATTCACTCACACAATTCTGTGCAGCCAGCACTCTCTACATCTTACAGATGAGGAAACTGAGGCACAGAGTGAGAACCATGCAGATGCTGGGGCGGGGAGCGGGGGTGGTGTGTCTGATTTCAGAGCCTGGTTACTACCCACAACTTGGTCCGGGCCCAGAGAATGTCTGCAGGAGTCAATGAATGAATCACAAACCAATGGGGGCGCGAATCACTCCGCCCAGGGCAGGACACAGGGAGACGTGAGGGCCTGGCGCTTCTTGGAGCAGGCAGGCACCCTGAAGCCTGACAGCACTGGAGAAGTGCCTGGGAAGCCAAGAGCCGGGCCCACCTCTGTCACTCAAAGCCAAGCGGCCTTGGGCCGGTCACCTCCCTGCTCTGATCCTGGTGCCCTCCCCTGAGGGGGTAACACCATGCCCACCCTCTCTCACTGGAGAGGAAAAGGTGCGCGGGTGAAGCAGCAGCAGCGCAGCAGGCATGAAACGCGCTTTATTCATCTCCAGAGATCGTCCCTTTGTTCTGCAACCCTTTCTGTTGGACGGCAAGAATCCTCTGGCAGGACATTTTTCCAAGTACGGAGCGGAAATTCCTGGCTGAGGCTGCAGCTCCGGAGCTGCCATGCGGGGATGGGGGACAGCTGGTCTCTCCGTGGAATGTCCTGGAAGCCGGATGCATCAGGGCAGGAGGTGCCTCTTACAGGAAACAATTGGCCCCAAGCGGCCTGGACAGTGACAACAGCCCCACTCAACCTCACCCACTTCAGGGGGCCCCAGCCCACTCCCCACAATACCCAGAAAATGAGGCCTTTGGGCACTCCAGAAATTTGCTTTCAAACACATTACAGAAATGTAAAAGGAACAGCTGTGACCCCCTACCCCCGGCAGTAGACAGACCCCATTTTGCATTCTGGTTCCTTTCATTTTTTAAAAAATAAATACATCGGTCCTATGCATCAAGCGTTCCTTGAGCACTGTGCTTGAGAGTTAAGCTAAGCGCTTCATAGCACCTCTTCATTTAATCCTCACAACCACCCAGTAAGGGCACTGCTGCCCTTCACTCCCATTTCAGACTGACAAGCGAGTCACAGAGAGGTTCAGCCATTCGCCCAGGGGCTCACAGCCAGTAAGTGGCAGAGCTGGGATTCGAACCCTGGACTTTCCTGCCGCAGCTCACACTCATAGTAACTAAGCGGCTACCCCAGAAGGACACATAGTGGCTCAGAATGCCGACCACAGGCCCCGTGCACGGCACACAGGAGGAAGCTGGGAAAAGCTGGGTGAATATAAAGACTCAAGTGCCTGGTGTGGCCCCTTCCTCCCCTTCCTGCCACCGCACCTCTAAGACTGTCATGCTGGGGGTAGAGCCGGAGCAGACAGAGCAGTGAAAGGGCAGACCTGTTGCATCACCCAGGCCTATTCCTCCCTCTTCCATCAGTGGCAGTGACATGTGGATAGTGGTCGGCAGATTTGCAGACGGCTGGGCAAGTGCTGTGCACAGCCTTCAGAACACTGCTGTGAACACACTGACCTCACCCAGCTGCCAGCCATGACACCCTAACACGAGGCACGGGCCCAGGCAAAGGGTGGCTCACAGCTCCCTCCAACAGTTCAAAAAGCTTCCAGGAAACCATCATCCACCTGGCCATTCTAAGACAATACTGCCAGCTAATGAGATGCTCAGAGTCTCCTGATCCTGCACACAGCAGCCAGAAGGCAGAAGGACCCTTGTAAATGGAGGTCGGATACTGTGTCTCCCCGAATGCACAGATAAAGCCCAAGACCTGGCTCTGGCTTGCAAGGCCCTGCAGGACCCTGTGTGTAGAAAATAGCACCGCAAGCTTCAGAAAGGGCCGCTAACAAGGTTGAATCCTCAGCTGGTCTCTGCAGACTAGGCGAGGGCTCCCACCATTAACTGGTAAGAGTGGCCCGCTCTGCCTAAACTGTTCTGCAAACAATATGGCTTAGGCTGAACACCTGTTTGCCTTCTAGAGTCTGGAACTTTGGTCTGTGCCAGGCAGGGCGTGCCCATGTGACCACTACCCAGTAAAAGTCCTAAGGGGCTTCCCTGGTGGACAGCACAGAGAATTAAGCTGTTCTGGTGACTGTACTGGGAGAGGGCCCTGGAAGCTTGCACCTGGCTCCCGAGACCTTTTCCCACGCGCCTCCTCCTTGGGCTGAGTTCTCTCTGTGCTTTTGCTGTCCTAAGTCTCCGGAGGGAGAGAATATGCTGAGGCCAGGTGTCCTCCTAGGGAACCACTGAGCCTTGGGGCGGACGCCCCAGTGCCTCTCCGCTCTCATCTCCCCTTCTCTCCCCTCCCCTCCCCTGGCCCCTGTGCTCCGGCTCCCCCACCTCCCACCCCCATCCCCTGGCTCTTCCCAGCATGTGCGGAACATGCTGCAGTCCCAGGCCTTTGCCTCCTCTCTCTCTGGGCCACTGGCCTCACTCCTTCCCTTCCTGTGGGCATCTGCTCACCCGGAGAGCCCTTCCTTATCCTCTCTTACAAGACAACAGCCGTTCCCAGGCGCCCCACCCCGCACTG